AACATGAACTTAAAAACAAAAAGCAAGTCTTGGATATATAGGTTCAAGTTTCATTGGCACTCAAATATCAAAGAATCAGGTTCACACATGAAAAAACTATCTAAAAAAATAACAAATTGAATATGCTCTCTAAACTTACCGGCCAGACGTGCTCATAAGAGGACTTTCCACTCCACAGAAAATGCACAAGCCTTACTGCAAAACCATGTGGTCTCATCTCATTATTCTCCACATAACTAATGTTATAAGGAGCAGTTGGCTCTAATTTATCCTTCAAAATAAGCCTTTCTGCATTAATCCCAACATCGTTTATTATGAATAATCCCCAGCATAGTATCCATACTGCTGTTACGAAAAACGCCTTCATTCTCTTTTTTAATAAGAAATATATATAGAAGTAGCTTCCTCTGTTTCCTTTGAGATAATTAATTGGCTACTTCTATATATATTCCACTTTGAAGAACCTGAGGGGAATTAAAAGAGCAGAGAAAACAAACTTCAAGAATATTGTATGCTTGAATATCCCTTTATTGCCTACGTTTATATATAATATGTAAAAGTTGAAATAGCTATGTGTCTGATATGGACATTTTACGTGTTTTGTACTGTTGAACAAAGATATCCTTTTAATTTATGTCATTTAAGAATTTATGTCATTTTTGTGCTAATAAAAGAGTTTGATCGAAAATAGTTACGTACTTCTCACTTTAGAAAACCAAAAAGATATTAATAGTGTAATTATATCTTTTCCAATTTCGTATTTACATTTACTATCCTAAGAATAAGATGATATATAATTACTAATTGCCTCATATTCGCTTTGTATTACGAATTAAAATAATATAATTTTTACATAGAGATGCATGTAATTACTTGATGATACAGATATTCTTTACACCGTCAATATACAAAAACTTAAGTGATTCTTTCCGATCCTCTGATGAGGCTTAGTTCAGCTAGCCCTAGACAGATCACATCTCATTAGAAAGGCTTTTTTCTTTATAACTATCCCAAAACTTTAAAAATGACAAGTAAAAATGAGCTAGGGCGGAAAATGGAACCATCTAGGAGGACATAGAATTCGAAATTTCTCAACATAAAATTATATAGTAAATTTTCATTCCCTACGTTCAAACTCAATAATGTTGTCAAACATAGAACTAGTGTTTGTTTCTTAATGTTAATTACTTACGTCTACACTAAACAACCATCGAAAAATTTGCAAAGTTTAGTAGTTTTGTCGTGTATATGCAAATTAAAGGGAGATAAGAAAGAAAGTCCTTATTTATTTTTTTGCTTCTACTCCACAAATTAGGAATTAAAAAAATTAGAGGGAAGCAGTGTTGTATGTCTTATTAATGTGAAATTTCCAGGAAACCCTCCAATTCATCATCTTACGCACGGATATAACCATGCATGTCTGACGATATATATGTATTTCAGAGCATGAAATTACACTTGACCATATTGGTATGAATATCATGATGATAACACGTACATCTGATTACTTAATATTTAGGACTACTAACTGTGAAATCAGGATTTTCACTAAGTTATTTGTAATTCGTTCTAAGTTTGGAGTTTCATATCTATTTTCTTGTTGGTTTAGGTTAGGGGTGTTTCACGGGTTGGTTTGGATCGGTTATTGGTCAAAACCAAAACCAAACCAACTTAATCGGTTTTAAAATTATCAAAACCAAACCAAACCAAATATAATATACATTTATCGGTTTGGTGATTATCGGTTTGGTTTGGTTCGGTTTTTCGGTTATTAACCATACACAAAAATAAAAGAAACAATTCATTTAAAATGTGAAAAAAGTGACAACAATCCATTCAAAACGAAAAATAGTTAGAATGACTTAAATTACTGAACTTTCGATCACTAAATTTACTATCAATAAATCTTTAAAATTCACTATATTGGCCTAGAAGGAAGAGACAATAACATTTTCAATCCCACAAAGAATTGTCATAGACACTCATATACATGAAATCAATAAGATAAATGTTTCATCTTGGGCATTTTTGCTTTCAATAAGTAAATTATAAAGAATTTTTAATGAAAATATGTATAAGATCTTTAAAATTGTTTATAAAAACAATATATTAAGTATGTATATTAATAAAATATATGTATATAATTCATCGGTTCGGTTCGGTTATTTTTTCAATTTTTTTTTAATAAAACCATAACCAAACCAAATACCATCGGTTTTCAAAAATCTAAAACCAAACCAAACCCAAATAAAATCGGTTTTTTTTATCGGTTTGGTTTGGGTTTTTGGTTTGGATCGGTTTTTATCCAAACCGTGAACACCCCTAGTTTAGGTTATACATGTATTAATAATATAATGATTAGTTATGAGAGAATCTATGTATTATTTTTTGTAGGAATTAGTTATGCAATTGCATGTTTTATCCGGCATAAAATATTAGTTTCCTCATTAACTTATACATATTCTAATTATACATAGTACTCCCAAAACACTTTGGGTGTGTTTGGTATGAAGGAAAATGTTTTCCTAGAAAATGTTTTCATGGAAAACAAGTTGATTTTTGACTTATTTTCTCATGTTTGGTTGGTGAGTAGAAAAGATTTTTAGTATTTGATTTATGAATGAATTATTTTTTTTTTAAAAATATCTTTTACTTTTACTAGAGTAGAAAATAATTTTTGAAATTGAAAATATTTTTTAAAAACAAACTTAAATTTTTTTTTTGGAGGTACGGGGGGGAGGAGGGCTGGGTAGGGGTGAAAAAAATGAAATTTTGAAATTGAAAATATTTTTGAAAAACAAACTTAAAATTATTTTTTCGGGGTGGTGGGGGGGTCGAGGGTAGGGGTGAAAAAATGAAATTTTGAAATTGAAAATATTTTTTAAACTTAAATTTTTTTTTGGGGGAGGGGGATTGGGGGCTGGTAGGGGTGGGTGGGGGGGGGGGTCAAGGGTAGGGTAAAAAAATGAAATTTTAAAGTTGAAAACATTTTTTAAAAACAAACGTAAAATTATTTTTTGGGGGTGGTGGGGAGGGGGGGCGACTGGTAGGAGGTGGGTGGGGGGGGATCAAGGGTAGGGTGAAAAATGAATTTTTGAAGTTGAAAATATTTTTTAAAAACAAACTTAATTTTTTTTTGAGGGGTAGGGGTGGCGAGTAGGGGGTGGGTGGGTTGCGGGGTTGAGTGTGGGGTGAAATTTTTTTTGAAGTTGAAAATGTTTTTTAAAAACAAACTCAAATTATTAATTTTTTTTTGGGGGGGGGGGGGGTAGGGTGGGTGGGTGATCGAGGATCGGGATGAAAAAATAAAAATTTGAAGTTGAAAATAATTATTAAAACAAACTTAAATTATTTTTTTTCAAAGGGGGTTAGGAGGCTGATAGGGGCGTTGATAGGGGGGCTGATGGGGGGAGGGTAGTAGGTGGGGGTAAAAAAATAAAAAATTGAAATTAGAAATATCTTTTAAAAACATTTTTTAATATTTTTTTGGGAGGGCGTGGGGGTAGGGGTGAGGGTGAGGGTGGGGTAAAAAAATTGACTTGAAAAATAAACTTGAAAATTATTATTATTATTATTTTATTTTATTTTGGGGGGGGGGGGTTGGGGGGCCGGTTTGAGGGTAGGAACAAAATAAATTGAATTTTTCAACAAAAAATAATTGTAATTTGAAGTTGAAAGAGAGTTTTGGAAAATGTTTTCCTTTAGGTTTTGAAGGGAAGTCATTTTCCTTAAATTTGAGGAAAATGAGTTGATTTGGAAAACATTTAACCCAGCCAAACATGAGAAAATTGGAAAATGTTTTCCTTCATACCAAACACACCCTTTATTTCTTATGCGTGATCTAATTAATACATCAATAGCCTAATCAGCTACCAAACGACTAGAGAGAAAATGTAATTAATCAGCGAGGACGGAAAAATAAACATTCGTGAGTTAAGAAATGATAATATACAGTTGGGGATTATGGCGTCTGTATACAAACAATTTAGAGGTTTTCGAGAGAATGATATGATTGAGCGATGAAGATGTAACAAATATAAATATTTTGGTTGGTTGAATATAAAAGTTATAACAGCCTAAACAATTTGTTTCTTTCTGGGAAACTTCTGAAGATGTACTTGTACGATCACTACAAGTACAGAAATTTTTAGCTTTCAGCATGGTACCAAATTGTTTAATTTGGATCACATATGTCCTACGCGTTCAACTCCTATCATAAGTTCGTTCGTGCACATTTACGCGCTATCAATTTGGGGGAAAAGACATATGAAGTAGGATCAGGATGTTTCGTTTTTTAGCCCTCCAACTTCCACCCATTTTTGCTCCCTTGAATCTTGATGATTTGAACCACCCACAAGACATATTGTAGTCTTGCTAAGATTTTGTGTATTGGGATCCCACCAATACACATAAAAGTTGGCATTTAAAGACAAATTAAGTTGATGTAAATGCCGTAAATGTTCTTATTGAGTTGATATAAATGCCATATATGAAACTCTTTTTACCTTAAATACAACAAAACAAAAAAAGAGGCATGCCTTTGAACAAAGTCAGAGCGGTGTCTTTATTTGGAACTAGACAACTCCAAGTACTTTCTATTCAACATTTTACGTAAAGGAACTGTACATCTTGGCTATCAAAATTCAAAACTCTCACCATCCAAAAATATACATAGCATACAACCCAGAAAGGGAGAGGCATCTCACTCAAAAACTCAAAACCTCTAGTTAAAGGGTAAGAATGAAATCCATTTCACATTTTTCACAACTTTGATGCCTTAGAGACACGGTATCATTTAGACGCTGGACGATTTTATTTATTTATTAATATTCTACAGAATCCCAGCCTCCTCAAAGAAATTTCAAACTATTTTCATAGGAGATAATATCCAAAAACAAATATGCTAATAAAGAACCAAAATACCATAACATGAGCGAATAGTCTGTTCAACATACAAGTACTCATAACAAACACAAAAGCGCACACAAATCCCGAATAAATTCACATTTAACAAGTTCACATAAGAACTCAGCAAGTAATTTACCAAACAATTCCAAAAGCAGATACAAAATTCAAAACATGGGCCGATGTGCCGCACCATCATCTTAGTGTTTCCATTCCCGCACTAGTCAAGCAGGTATTTCAACAGATAGTTGCATTTTCATTGAGGTATCAGTAGGCCATGTCTTCCTGCGAGTCAAAAATTCAGACAAATCTAGTGCAGCAATATTATTGAATGAGATATTAAAATTACCTACATAGCATATGGATTTTATTGCAACCTTACCACAGCAACACAAGCTGAAGCATACTCTTCATCGTCAGTAGTCATATTCACGAGAATGTGACCTATCTGAACGCTTGTAATCCTGGTCCCTTTCTTTTGCCTCAGATGCCCCGTGGTCATAGGCATAATTATCCTCTTCCATTTGATCATAACGATCGTGACCACGACTGGCATCTTTATAGCGATCATCACCACCTTGTGCATCTGGATTCTCATAGTCTCCTCGACCTCGGTGGTGATCATAATAGTCATAATGTCCATGATCATCTTCAGGTTCGGCAGGATCATAATTCCTTTCTTTGTCACCATGTCGGCCCCGCTCGTGTTTTGATTCAACATGCTCATAATCATATTCTCTATCACGAGAACGCCCACGACCCTGGTCAACCTCACCTTCATCCCTACCTTTTTCCCTGTCCTTCTCGCGGTGGCGATCTCGCTCACGGTGACCATCCCGGTCTTTGTCTTTGCCTCGCTCACGGTCACGTGTCCTATCACGTTCGCGGTCTCGATCACGGTCACGACCGCGATCTTTTTCTCTTTCTCTGGTTCTTTCGCGTTCCCTATGATGTTTGTCATCTCTTTCACGTTCCCTTGGTCTGTCATGAGAACGCTCACGAGATTTCTCTCTGTCCTTATCTCGCACCCTTTCACGGGACTTCTCCCGATCCCTGCTAATATGGGAATTCATAATAATATTAGACGTGAAACACATTATAGCATTAGCTCACATTTAAACTAAACAGAGTAGTGAATCGGACAACTCATCCTTGGAGAAGTAGAAATTTGTCTGGGAGTCTAATTGCCAGAAAGGAACTCAAAGCAAGCATACCTGTCCCTGTCATCTCGTGCTCTTGGCTCCTCAGAGCGAGATGCTGCCCTTCCCGGCTGAACCACCTCTCTGAAAAATAGGAGTATAGAGTCGACAATAATTAAAATTTCATGTAAGAATTTAAGCTTTTCACTTGACAATCATACCAAAAGGGCATCTAAACAAGAAAAAACTACTTTGAGAACATTTTATGAGTAATTATCAAACTGAATGCCAAACAATAACAAATTCAACTTGTAGACAAGATATCGTACATAGAAGCTCAGAGCAGCAAGTCATTTTTAGGAAAAAGGAACACAAACTGAAGCATCTATATACCCCGAAAGACGAGTTGAAATTCAGAAAAGCAGTTTATGTCTACTACAAGCAAACATGTCTTGTTGTATCTAACAAATTAGCATTTTACGCAATATGCAACAATAAAATCAACTCAAACAGAGAAGAGGAGACATTCCCATTGCGATTTTTACTCCATAGACACCACAGGAACCATTATTGCACTAAAGAAGAGCTGAGATCAATGTCCTTTTTAGCACTATGCATATGTACATATGACAAGTTCATGCAATACCTATTAGCATCTTCATTTCCAACTCTTGTTGTTCCAAGTCCACCGCCAAGTCTGCGGGGCCGCCAATTGGGGACTGTTCTACCACGTTCAACATCAACCAGCACTCTTCTATTATCAATCTTCTTTCCATCAGCTTGTTTATATGCAGCTGAATTATATCCAAAAGAATTAGAGATGGAAGTGAGACTTCCAAAAAGTCAGAAGAATAGGAGTTTAGAGAAACCTTTCATATCCCGTGTATGCACATACTCAATGAAAGCATAACCCCTGGGTTTATTGTTTGTCTTGTCCATAACCAAGCGAACCTGAAACTCGAACAATTTATGGAATTAACACTACTAATAACATTATAATCATGTTTGATGCAGCGGTCAAAAAAGTTTATGTTTTTTATCTACTCAGCGCGATTAGGTACAGTAAGCTCCTAATGGCACGGCAGGCACTATGCCTAATTAGCCGTGCTCACCTTTGAATCAAAGAGCTCCCAGGCGAGATGCTTCATCATCACTGCTAGAGTTGAACAAGAACTGTGGCCTTATGTTTGCAATATATTCTAACTCCCCTTACCAGGGAACATTTTAAAATAAAATAAATTATTATAGAAGTATAGTCAAATACCAGGTGTCTCCTGAAATGCTTGAAACTTTTTTGATAGCCTTTGAATCCAAAAGTAAAATCTTAGCAGCATAGATGGGATGTAAGAAGAATAAAGAAGAGAACAAGGTCGATACTCCCAACAAATTTTTACCCAGTAAAGGCAAGTATCAATCTCCGGTGTTGCTTGGAATAAGAGGCCAAAGATATATTGCATCATTGCTCTGCTCATCTAAGTGTTCAGCTTTGTTTCATGTAATGTAGCTCGGACTTGGAAATTGAATGGTCATGTTTGGCAACTCAAAAAAACAAAAGCTACCAGAAAATTAAGTTTTACCCTTACCAGGAAAATACCTAGGAGTCGAACATCTTTACCTTTGTGGTTCTAGAAACTAATGGAATATCAGAATGAATAGCACTTGAAACTAATGATATCCAAACCAGGATAAGAGGATAAAGACATCGAACTGATACTCAATAATTGGAGCACTGTTACCTGAGGAAGGGCATACTGGCAATCTGACCTTTATTTTACAAAGCAAAGAAATGCTAGTAACTTCACAAAAAAATTCACCCATTTTCAGAGTGCAGAATGCACCTCGAACACCAGGGAATAGTGCTAGCAGTTCAAACAACAATCCATTTCTTAACTACAGCCTGAAGAGATGCATCCGAAGGTACAATTGAAAAAAAAAAAGTTCTCCAGATAAAATGTGATTTTGAAAGCTTATAGCATAAACCATTTCTTTTTCTTTTTTAATAATCTGAAGCACTAAGGAAGTCGAGAGCTAATCAGTTTATTACTATTTAACAGACACTGCCAAATTCAATAACTTCTCATCAAAATACTGAAGTGCAATCCATGCTATAAGTTTATACACATAAAGAATGCATCGCATGCACCTTAAGTGAAAGTTTGAAACTTAAGTAGAGTAATGTGGGGTACTTCTTTTATGTACTCCATCCTCATTTTGAAGGACTCAACTATAAAGACAACCTTTCAAAAAGTGTATCGACCCCACAGTTCTTTAAATTTTGGTGATTAAAATCTGTTTTGAGATAAGATGCTAATTTTTTTTATGAAGTACATAAAGAGAAGCTGCTGAAAATTGTAAGATGTTCAGTGCTTTCAGAAAATAATAAGTTGTGGAAATATCAATTTGAGAAACGGCTGGATAGTAGGAGGAAGTACCATGCCACCATAAAAGTACACATCTTACCAACCAAAAGCCAGTAACCTGAGCCCCACAAAGGGATGCTCTATAATACCTACCCGCTTGATTGGACCATAAGCCTCGAATTCGCGTTTGACTCTGCTTTCTGTTGTTTCATAATTCTGAGAAAATGTGAAAGACAATCAACAAAATTAAGAAGATATTCCATTGTCAAAAAAAAACAAAACTTAGATGATATTCCCAAGTAACAGCAAAATTGATCTAAAAAGATCTTCACTCACAAGTCTTGCAACAAAGAGTGTCTTGTATGGATCTCCGGTAACATTTGGGTCGCTGCTAGGATCATCTGTTCAGCAGAAAAAAACAAAAATTTATTCCATTTTTAATCATAAAATATGGCTCTCAAATATTCAGAAAATAAAAAAATTAGGCACTTCATACATTTTTCAAGCTCCTCAGCAGCCTTTTTAGCACCCTCCTCCAGCCGTAACTTGTGGATCCTAGCTCTTCGTTCAGTCTGCATCCAATAACAAAAGCAATCAATGAGCATAAACAAAAATATACACAGATTCACCATAGTATGTAATTGCACATCTTATTATACTTTTCTGGAATAAAGTAACTCTTCAGAACCGGTTTGGATACCAGAGGATGTAACTGTCTCAATCCCAAATTAGTTGGATTAGATAACCCACATCTCAAGTTAAATAGTAAATATAATCCACTCCTCTAACTACATGCACTACCAATTTACAACAGATTCAGCTCTATTGAATAGGGGAGACAACAGTATCTTCCAGATAAGATGAGATCCAATGGTTACAACAGCTCCACACCTTGGGGAGATAATAATAGAAGCTTTCAATTACACAGAAAATTTTGGCATTATTCAGTGCAAGACAAACATAAAACACACAACTAAAACTACCCTGAGGGAAAAAGATAAAGAACAAGACATGATATTACCACTAATTCAACTACAACACAATGTTTTAGTGTCATTTGTTGGACATTCAAGATTCATTCATCTCGAAATAGAAAAAAAATCAGCAGATCATTATATGGCAAAACACACAAATAATCAAGCAAACATCAAATTGATGAAATTAAAATATCACTGTTAAGAGAACATGGATGATTGCTTATTGCTAATTGGTGTTGAAGCAGTTAATAAGGCAAGAAGAAGGGAGAAGAATGAATATCCAACCCTCAATTAAACAAAACGACCTACCCAAATAGATCAGAAAAGAAATTGCAGCATATAAAATAATCTTACCGGGGTTTCAACCTCAGGGATTGGTGGAGCATATTCTGGATCACCAGGTTGAGCGAAGTTACTAACAAATTGTGCCATCCCTAAAAAACAAATCAGAATATTTCTAAGAATTATACAAGATAACTGACGGAACAAGAAATGACTCAATCCATGAAGAATGTTAACCAGTATATGAAGGGCATTTTCTCTTCTCAGGGGGTGGTTTGTACTCCAAAGGTGGGCGGGGCTCAAACAGCTTCAGAAGATTAGCAGTCAACCCAGTTGGATGACTTTGACCAATCTGCATATATTACATATATCAACAAAGAAAATACACAAACTTGCAGCACCAGTGAGGAACAAAGAAAAGGATTGCCAATACTGCAACAGCCTGACAACATAGTTCTACACTTCTACTGTTATTCTAAGCCAACTATCTAGTCACACAGTATATTTAGCTGTCATAAAAGCACAACAAATATGCATCTTAGACAATTTCTAGTCTCATTTCACAAAAACAAAAATAATAAACCTAGAGTTGGAATTGGAACAATTCTAAAAATATCACGAAACAAGAAATAAACCACAACACCTTACTCACTACTACATAATGACAAATCACGAAGACATCAAGAAACCAACAACAACGTTCTAATTTCCCCAAACCACTTGGGGGTTGACATATGAATCCACATCAATTCCACTCCATCTAGGTCTGTTTCCCCCCAGTATTATACAATTAATATTTTGGGAAAGATTAGAGGTACCTAAGACTATGAATTAATAAACATTGAGAATCCCTAACCAAACTAAGAGAGGGACTTAATGTGAGTTTACCGACAACAACTGACTAGACCATAATCCTAACAAGTCGGTATAGTCTATATCGATACTTCACTTCTACTCTCTTTTTTTCCTTTGCTAAATCCACACAAGCACGCAATAAATCACAAATACCAAACAAGTTGAAGCAACAGGGCACAAAATCATCTAAATTTCTAACCTCATATTCATCAAGAAAGAACCTAAGGAAAACCTAAACAATCAAACAACATTAACACAACAAAAAAAAAAAAACCTAGTTAAACAATCTAAGTCAGTAAACAACAAAGACAACAGATCGAATGTTATAACTTACAAGCTTGAGTTGCATGACATTAGCGCGATTCTGGGCCTTTGCACGGGCCTGAACGTTAGGGTTGTTCCGCATGAAGGCATCGTTGAAGTCTCCCATTGAAGTCGACTAGGGTTTTTGCTAGATGCGAATCGCCGCCACAAGAAGTGGAGTTACGTTAATCGGACGATTGGAGAGATGGAGAAGATAGCTGAGAGCGGCACGAAAACCAAAATAGAAACAAGGGTTTATCCGGCGAAGAGAAGCGGCTCATATAAAGACTCCATCAGAGATCTCACTCCATCACTCGCGAGTTCATTTATACCAAAATTTTAGAAATAATTTTTTTAAAACTAAAAATACGAAATATCATTTAATCTTTTAAATATGTCATGTGAAAAGATGTCAAAAAATAAAAAGAATTTTTTTTTTAAAATTAACTAAAAAGAAAAAACAAACGAATAAATTATAACGAATGAAACAATAACGATGAACAAGGGATAAATACATATTTTTCAGCGTCTTGAATACGAAATTTCATGAAGTTGTGAGACTATTGAATTTTAAGGATATATGTATGATACTGAAGAAAAAAATAAATATAAAAAGTGAATTCTTAAAGAAAATAAATCAACTCAAAAAGAAAGACATATAAATTGAATGTAATTAATATTTTCTCTAATTCATATTAAGTAAATTATGTTTGAACGAATGTAATTTTAATTCTTGACAAATGTTCTAGCAAGAAATTGTTGTTGATAACCTTTCAATTCAATATATTTTTATTTATTTTAAAGGAAGATTGTGATATGTTGAGCAGGTGAAAACGAGCTTGCTTGAACACCTTATAATTGTCACTTTGATCAATTGAAAGAAATCAAAACACAACAAAAAAGATTTATATTACTTTTTAAAAAATCCACAATTACAAGTTTTTTAAGCAAGCGGGCATTCACCTACCCTCTCAGAATCATCTCAATCTTCCTTAATAATTGATAAATATCAATATCAAAATACCTAGAATTGAAGGTTTTACTACAAAAGCTTATTATTTCCTACTCTTGTTATTTTATTTCCTTTCTCTCAATTTAGGAATTATTTATAGTTAAATATACCTTACAGTGAACGTGCAATTAGAACTGTCAAAAAGGGTCGGTCCAGCCCCACCCGACTCAAGAAATTTGAAGGGCTAGGGCGGACTGGCCCTTCATTTGGAAGGGAATGTCCAACCCAACCTAACCCTAGAAGGGCTGAGGGCTACGGCGGGCAAGTTTTTTTTTTTTTCTTTTCAAGCTTATAACTATGTAACATCAAAATAATGAGAAGATTTTCAAATCAATATGACAAACAATGGTGTTGTTTCAATAACACTAGCAAAAAATAAAAATGTCCTTATGGGGTAGGTCTATGGAGGACAATCAGGAATCAATGGCCTAAATTGTGGGGAAACTCAAGAATTGTAATAGGAAATGGAAGGAGGACGTCATTCTGGAATGATGTGTGGGTTGGTCAATATCCCTTAATGCAGCTGTACCCGATGATCTATAATTTGAACCAACAGAAGAAGGCAACAGTAGCAGATGTCAGGGACAATCAAGGATGGAACCTCTCTTTTAGGAGAATGTTGAATGACTGGGAGATTGACAGTCTAACAGATTTCTACAATACTCTGGAGCAAGCAATCAACTTTCAACCTAATGAAGACAACCTACACTGGTTGAAGGCCAAAAATGGGAAATTCACAGTAAAATCAGCTTATAGACACCTTGATAGGCCAGCTGCAATGCTCTTACCATGGCCTTGGAAGATGATATGGAAAGTTAAAGTACCTCACAAGGTGGCTTGTTTCACCTGGTTAGTAGCCAGACAAGCAGTACTAACTCAGGACAATCTAATGAAAAGGGGAAGACAATTATGTTCCAGATGTTTTTTTTGTAAAAGAGAAATAGAGACAACAAACCATCTCTTCATCCATTGTAGAGTGACAGAGAAACTGTGGCAGGTGTTTTTTAACTTAAGGGGTATCAGTTGGTCCATGCCAAGGCATACCTCCGAAGCTCTAACACGCTGGAATAGAGAAGGAAATTTGTCCGACCACAAAGAGAGATGGAAGATTGCCCCTGTTTGCATCTGGTGGACAATATGGAGGGAGAGGAACCAAAGATGTTTTGAAAACAAGAGCATCCCTTTCCAAAGTCTGAAGTTGAATTGTCTTATAACCTTTTTTTTTTTGTGTAACTATGTACTCCCCAAAAAGGTGGAGGATATTACTCAGTTTCTAGATAGTTTAGGAGGGATATAGGTGGTAGATTTCTTTGGTTTTGTTTACTGTAAATCCCAGATGTAACTACTACTAGAATACACTATTGGTGTATCTTGTCTATAAAATGTTAACTTTCTCAAAATAAATAAATAAATGTAATTAGCATGTATCTCGCATACCAAATACGTGAGCGAGATAAGAGAGTGACAAGCAAGATGGGAGGGAGGCGAGGCGTGAGATTTGTCTATATATCCTATATACATGCGAATCTACTTGGATAAAGCGTATCTAGAACAAATTAACCTAATTTTGAGTCCATATATTCTGAGATACATGTATTTAAACATACCAAAATCTGGTAAGATTCATAATATTACAACATAGCGTGTATTTAAGTAATTAGATTATATACTAGCAAAATTATTGTAAGTTAACCTTAAATAAGAAGTTTTGGTCCATGGGTCGACCCTGATTATGCCTCAAGGGCCAAGGGCTTATATGAGCCGGACTTATAAGCCCTAGTTTTAGATGGGCTAGAAAAATCCTATCACAACCCTACCCCAATAACGGGTTAGGTTGGGCCGCCCCCATGGGCTAAGCCCGTTTTGACGGCTCTACGTGCAATACACGCTTTTATTGTCCAAAAGACGTCTCGTTGGGCATGTGTTAGGGGTCCCAATGCGTTGTATTTATCGTCAATAAAAAATTAAAACCTCACGAGGGACGTGCATTGGGACCTTAAGACGTTATCTTACAATGTTAACCAACGCTTTTGAAATTTAAATTTTGACTACTTCTCTCCTACCAACTGCTCTCATTGTGCACAAAAACTTATGTTACTATGTTTCAATATGGGTTTTTCAAAATCAAATTATAACCGATAATTCAATTATAAATTTGACTTATTGATATTGGTTATTGAATTAACAATTGATAATTAAAAAAATTAAAAGTATATAATCAATAATTAATTGATGCAGAGATAAATTACTCAATTTTCTTAAATGATAAATTATCAATCCATTAAAATTATTATATTTATAAATTATAATTTTTTCCTAGCATATATTTATACTTTCCCCGCTACTTCTAAATTTTTTTCTTGTTAATGTAGCATAAAGATTTGGTTTGTTCCTGCTGGGGATAGATCACGTGATATATTTAATGAAACAAAGAGACATAAGTTAACTAAAGCAATGATAAGTATTTTCTTGTTGTGATTTTAATTGAAGAAAAGGAATAATATAACAGTAGTACTTAAGATGTAAATTGATGACTGCTCGATAATTGTTAATTTGATACTAAATTAATCAATATTTTATTGGTTAATTAGCAAATTAATACATAAATCTAATCGTTGTTTTATTTTATCTTCTTTTTTTTATTTCATCTTTTGTCTATTTCTTAAATACTATTCCGCCGATTTTAATTTATGTGGCAACTTTCGAATTTCAATCTTATTATTAATTGTTGTGACTTATAGTACTTTTTACGTAATTTACAAATGTATACATTTCATATTTTTACGTAATTTACAAATATATAAATTTCATTTAAAAAATTAAAAATTTCATGAACAAATTTCAGTTAAACTTAAATTGGTTGACTCTCAAAATATGAAAAGTGTCGCATAAATTGTTTGATGGTTGATATTAAGCTATACCTGCATAAATGTTATATGCAAATCTTGATATTGCCTATTTTATTTTAAATATAATATTATAATCCTAGATAATCCTATTTCCAACCGAACAACCCATAGATGTTTTGCAAGAATGGGTGAGAAGGAGATCTACCGTCCTTAATCACTCTTAATTAGGGATAAAATGATGTTTACACCAAATCAATAGAAGCATGATATGTATTTACACATAATATTAAAAGCCAAACTATAGTTAATTAACATGAATTCTTATCTCATTAGATCACCAAACTAAAACAAATTTACATAATTTAATATAAACACAAAATACGACTAAATATTTACTCTTAATCATACTTAGTGGACAGGCTTTTGGCAGAATAAAAGCGTTTGAAAACCATAGAAGAAATTATAAAATCAAATATTATATATATAGTACAAATGTACAGAATATTGAGACAAAAATGATACTGTGCTATATATAATGTACTGTAATATATACATAAGCATATTTTGCTGCTATGCCTTTGATTTTGTATATTTATTTGACAAAATCACTAAAGAGTACGATCCATTAATTGGATCAGTTCTAGGGAAGAAGTCAAAATGTTAGCTATTCATCCTGTCAAGCTTCAAGTCTTCAGCTAGTTAGCTTTTCATCCTCTACCTCTTTGATGATGATCAAGCTCACTGGAATCACCGCTCGAGGAGGAAGGGTTGAGTCCATAGTCACTTGTCCCTCCATATTCACTGCTATCGAATTCTTGGTTTGATATCATTTTCCTAAACTTGACCATGTCAGCGTTGTATGCACCAGTATCGTAGGTATCAGTCTTTGCACCATCGCTCATGTCCTCCAAAGATGAATCGCCATCCAAAGCTCGCATAATCTGTTCATTAGAATGTGCATCACTAATTGTCTCCAGAAAGTAGAAGAGAAAAGGAACATATACAATGAGTCTAATTGCAATGGTATAAGATATAAGTTCAAAGTAATCGATAAAGGTAAACCACAAAACCATGTACTAACCGGACTTAACAAAGGAGGGTCTAGTTTGATAGCTCTAATCATGAAGATGACATACCTGAGTCATCTTTGGACGTCTTTTAGCAGAATGACGAGTGCTAGCAGCAGCACAGACTACTAGCCGATGCAGCTCCTTTGGAACACTGTTTCCTTCAAAAGGAGCACCTACCAATTCGTCATATTTTCCCTCTTCCAAGGCTGTTTTAAGAAGCGGCCTAGCCTGTTCATATTCATACATTAGGTTAATAAGGGTATGCATATACAAAAATTGGTGTCTAAATACACGTTAAAATCTAGGTATTGTTGATGCAATGAATGAGATATGGAAACTTGAGATCAAGAGCGAACCCAGACTACTAAACTGTCTTCCATAATATTGCTAGGATCAATAGGTCGCTTCCCAGTTATGAGTTCCAAAAGCACAATTCCAAATGAAAACACATCTGATCTGTCTGTTAGCTTGCCACTTGATGCATATTCAGGAGCCATGTACCTGCAGTATAAGGATAAGATGGCTTTTTCATTACTGATGCCTAATTTCTTCCAGAATCAAGCACCCGCATTTATTACTTTAACCAAGAGGTCCGAAAAAGTTAAAATGACTTCTAAAACATTTTTCATGTATGTTAAACATTGGTTTTTTTTTTGCCTTCACTGTGGATATCTCTTGCCTAAGCTACTATGACTAAGCATATGAAAAGTTCTCTGAAAATTAGAGACCTTTAGAACCCCAAAACAAAAACATCAAACTGATTTTCAGGGCATTCTAAATCTTGCTCAGAATTATCAAATTTCTAGGCTTTTTAGATTGATAACATGGTATATGATTGGATTTCGACCAATTAAGATTTTTCGGTAAGTCTGGAAACATTTAAAGATGAAAGATTATATGTCACTTCTAAAGATAAGCACTAACCTTCACCTAGTATTTCTTTTACCTCTCAAAAAGTAGAAAAATGCTATGCTCAACTCACCCGAAAGTTCCCATAACACGGGTGGAGACATGAGTAAAGTTGTCAGAAGAAAGCTTAGCCAATCCAAAATCTGCCACCTGAGAAACCAGAAACACTCTTGTAATTCCCAAGGTTATCATGATTATTAAGCAACACTTCTAATAAAAGTGGAGATTTACGTTGAAAACCAACCTCCCAAGTTTCCTGACATATGCAAAATACATAAAAACAATACACGAGACAATAATGACTACAATAATTTTACCTTAGCTTCAAAGTTGTCCTCAAGTAGAATGTTTGCAGCCTTTATATCACGGTGGATAATTTTAGGATGGCCTGTGTATAGAAACAAGGGTTGAGAAAGAGAAACAAAGAGAAAAAGAAAAGGGGAGCATTGTGAATAGAAAAATTTGTATACAATCTTCATGGAGGTAAGCTAATCCTCTGGCTGATCCCAACGCAATTTTAAGTCTTGTTCCCCAATCCATAACACGATGGCCCTTCCCTGCAAACAAATTTAATTTAACCATTAGCATGGAGAGCATTTTCAACAGCTCAAATGGTTTTTTAAAAGGATTTAACTCATATATATTTACCATGTAAAGAATTTTTATGTCATTACTTAGTGTATTTTCTCACTTGTAGTAAGACGTAATTTGTGTTATTCTTTAGGTTACTAATTCCACTTTTTATGAATTGTTACATGTAGTTATATTTAAGGCAACGTGACAGTGTAATAGTTCTTTATACTAGCTAGTGTATATAAACTCTTAAGGAAGTCTTTCAATTATGTATCATAAAAGGGAGTATTCAATGACGGGAAGTACCATGAAGATGGAATTCCAAGGTTTTGTTGGGAACATACTCATAGACCAACATTCGCTGGCTATCAGCAATGCAATATCCAACAAGAGAAACAAGGTGGCGATGATGAACTCTGCTAATGATATCAACCTCTGCCTGAAATTCTCGTTCACCTTGTCCACTGCCCGACTTCAAACTCTTGACAGCTACCACCGTTCCATCAGCCAAAACACCTTTATGTACATACCCAAAACCACCTTCGCCTAACAAATTGGCCTTAGAAAATCCAGAAGTCGCTCTAGCTAGCTCCTCATAAGTGAACTGACTCTTAGAGAACCCACCAAGACTCGGAGATGGCACAAGAGCTTGGCCATTAACAGCAAAGGTGCTATCGCTACTTGTATAAACTGTGGTAGGAACCTTAACAATGTGTTCCATGGGCTTAGGACCTTTGTAGTATGGATCAGTACTACCTGCACCTAAATACAAAAATATACACTGTTACTAGGATGGTGAAACCTCCTACAGTTTTTGAGTTTCTCATTAAAACAACAAATGTATACTTGAATAATTATGACAAAAATTGGATATGCATACAAGTTAAACTCTTACTTACACAAGAGAGTACTAATTATGCTTTTAAGCGACTCGATAGTTCAAGTTTTTATCAATTTACAATAACAGGATATGTAACTTATACTCGGAAAGAAATAAAGACACATAGGTTACAATTTTACGAACCTTTAGGTGGACGTCTAGGAGGACCAGGAGGAGGATTGATATAGTAGTGTTCTTTCTTCTTCCTTCTCCAGTAAATTAAGCAAACAATGATAGTGGCAAAAATCATCAATCCTGCCACTGCTATTCCAGCAACTATAAACATATCAGATGAACCTGAATTAGACGAAGGCGAGCCATTGTTGTTTCCTGAAGAACCAGCTGCTGGTTTGCCTGAACGTTGTGCACCGCCTGGTTTTTCAAAAGGTGCTGATTTTTCTGAAGGTGGAGGAGGAGATAATTTTCCAGCAGATAATGAAGGCGGTCCTGAGGAAACTGGGGGTGGGGGATTAAATTTGGATGAGGTAGGAGGAGACACCTCATCAGGAGCATTGGGTGATGTGGTAGTGTATTCTGACGGAGGTGGTGGTGATTCAGAAGCTGAGGGTGGTGGTGATGACGGAGGAGAAGATTCCTTTGCGGGTGGAGGAGAATTTACAGGTGGAGGAGATTCTGGGGGTGGGGAGGTAGGCGGAGCTGGTGGTGGCGGAGATGGGGAGGAATTAGAAGGAGAGGAGGAAGTAGTGTCATTTTTGTTGGACGAAGCAGTACCAGGAGGTGATTGCATATTTCAACAACGGTGAAATTTCCGGCAGCCCAGAAATTCAACCTCTCCCGTTAACTGCTCGTCTCAACAAATCTTCAATGCTCCTATATTTCCATGAAAAAGGAAAAAAAGAAAATGTTATGTTAAACAACAAAATTGAAGATCCTATACAATATAGTAACAAAAATGATTCAATTTGGACATGAAGAGAAGAAATTTACCTGAAAGATGTACGAGAACAGAGGGTTCTCAAAAGGGAGAAAGAGAAATCTTAGCATTGTGATGTTCAAAGAAAGCCTACCCCCTTTCCCCTCTCTCACCCTCAAATTGTTTGCTCCTACAAACAAGGACCCTTCTCTCTCTCTCTCCCTAATTTTATTTTATTTTGCATTTTTAACACCGGAGAAAACATTAGTCTGTTAACAAGAATATTATGTGGAATTAGTCGAGATGCCCGATATTTTAGTCAACTACAGAGCATTGCAGTAGTAGTACATACTCCAATTAAGTTGGATTATTCTGATTCCTGATCTTTCATAACAAGGCAATATTTCATATTCAAGACTTGATTTCTCTATTTCCCATTTATTATAAGTAACTGTGAGTGCATAATTTAGAAGGAATGATTTACTTTATTCTATTTGCTTTATGAAGATTCGAGGCAGTACGTAATTGTGGGAGCAAGCAAAGAGAAGACAATCAGCTCATCTTCTATCAGACCTGATATGACATAGGAGGAAGTTGATGTCAATTGTAGTTCCAAAGTGTAAGTAGTTCTTAACACTTATCTCGTCAAAAGAGAATCTGACTATTCAATTCCAACATTTTGCACTTGTTTATGTAACAATGAAAAGAACCAAAACTAACAACTAGCAGCAAGAAAGTAAAATGAATGAAGGACAAAAACAAATCATACTACTTTGTCCAAATGAAACAATATCATCAAGGGCACTACTTCCTATTCTCCAGATCCTTGTAACATAACGAGGCTATTTATGTAGGGTGAGAACCTCTTATCAGTATCCACTCGTCCCGGACTCCACAGTGTCTCACAGTTCTGCTCCCTTAGGTGACAAGAGTATATCGTCGTATCAGTACAGGGTACTACTTCTTATTCTCCAGAATTGTGTACCATAACGAGGCTGTTTATGTAGGGTAAGAACCTCTTATCAGTATCCACTCGTCCCGGACTCTGCAGTGTCTCAAGCTTCTGCTCCCTAAGGTGATAAAAGTATATCGTTGTGTCTGTGTGGATCACCACAGTATCACTGTCAGTACAGGGTAGTACCTCACAACACTCCTCCTTGGGTATTCCAAGCACTTGAGTACGAGGCTTCTTGCTTCCAAGATTTACACTGACACTGCGCTTCAGGCCCATGTCCACACCTCCATAGACGTCTATTACGAAAACACTTCCACTGTCATTATAAGCAGTAACATAGCACACCTCATCTCCTATCTGAATTAAGGCACCACGTTGTTCAGATTGAATATTAGGTACATGTAAAACTGCTGGAATCTCATTTTTCACATCGAACGCTAACACTTCATTCGATGATGTATTCCTCCAGTAAGCCACCCCCTTCATATAAGATCCTCCACCTGCAAGACTTGTATTTTCCAGCTCTAGACAGTCTGAAGGAGAGCACCTCCATGAATCTGATTCAGAACAGTAAATCTCAAAGCAGACAACTGGATGATCAAGAACAGGGACTGCAGCGACCACGCGATAAAATGATTCAATATTAAACTGAGGATCAAATGCAAGAGCAACTGCAGGATCAGATCCATGGTAATATTGAGGAGGAGGAAGCTTTTTCCAGTGTTTGGTTGCAGGATTGCAAACGTAATAACTGTCCTTCCCCTGACAAAGGAGCAACCCGCTGCTAGAACTTAGTACTTTAACAACCTCAGGCAAGAAACCAAGGGAAGGACTCGGGACTCCGTTCGCGGAACGATGCAGAGACAAAAATATAGGAAGATCATCTTTATTTTCCAGTCTTTGATAAAAGTAGCCTGAAAGTTTCTGGAATGTTGAACTTTGATTGTACGCGAGTAATGGACTAGTTATCCACTGATTCCATTCTTTGGACACTGCCCGAAACTTCGTCAGTGATTTAGCAGGGAGGAAAGGCAGTACATGTCTCTTCGCTACATCTTTGATTGTCATGTCCACTCTCATTATGATGTCTACAGGGTATTTAGAACCATTGTTCCCTTCCTTCACCTTATAAGCGGCAGTCGTCAAGTCAAACTCTGCTAACTGCAATCCAAACCAAAAGACTTGTTAAAAGAGGTACGGTAATCAGAAGCAAGAGCGGTTTACTAACTATGCTGCAATCTCGTACTAGTTAGGATGATCAATATTTGTATCCACTCCTCTTTTTAGGCTGGGCATGTTGTTCACTCGGAAAGACTCATTTAAAAAACAATAATTCATAAATGTCAAAAATAAAAAAATAACAATAGAAGAATATTAGCACTAGAAAGCAAGATCTTATGAAGTAGCTTCCCAGCAAAACAGGGAAGCAGAGATTGCCCATGACATTGTGAAAATAAAAGAATGGTATCCTTGGAATGAGATGGATAGTGGATTAGTACATTTGGCCCCAACTAGCTTGGAATTGAGGCATAGTCATTGTTACAACTATAACTTTAGGTAAGGCGGAATATGGAAGAACTGAGATCCAAGGACATTTATGAGGACCAACTTACACCACTTTAATACGTCTGCCATCTGCCAATTTTGAAATGGACATCATAGAAATCACCACTTAAAAAGAAAAAACTTGAAAAGACAAAGTATACAATATACACCATGTTCAGTACAATTCTTTTAAGACACAAAAAAAGGACATTAACAGTCAATAAGAGACTTCAAGTTCTGTTATTGAGACTTCAAGACCTTAACATGCCGAAACAAGTAAAGAGTGCCATTAACGAGTTCGATCAAAGAGATGATGATAAAAAAACTGTTGAACAATTGAAACAAGAAACAAGAAAACAAAATAAAAGGGAAGAAAACTATACCGAGTCAATCCCACCACCCTGAGGTTTAATAGCAACGTAAAAGTCAGAGGAGTCAGAATAGATGTCCTCCTCCAAAGATTCATCACTCAGCATGTCAATCTCAGAACATGCCATTTTTCTGCATAGATATATAAAAATTAGAGCCTCTATTACTTAACAAAAAGAATATATGGAAACGAGAAAATCAAGAAATTGATCTCCAATTCACCTATTAGCAGAGCCCTTGATGACTTGGGTTTCAAGAAATCAAGAAATTTCACTATACTATAAATGAGAAAATCACGAAAAACATCAGTAACGCAGAAATAAGAAAAAAAAAAAAGAAGCAAGAAAATCCCAGATTGAACAGAGCATCCCATGAACAGAGCACTAAATATAGTTACATTTATTTCATCAAGAAAAGCAAGAACATAAAACGATACATTCAAAGAAGTAGAGGAAACAACAACACATTACCAAAAATTGGAACAAAAGAAAAACGAAAATGATCCTATCTTTTCATGCTAAAATTGATCAACAATTGTAAAACGGAGAAATTCAGTGTTTTTTCTTCTTCTTTTTTTGTTTTGGATAAATAAACAACAGCATGCGATGATCAGTACCGGTAAGCAAAAGAAGAATTAAGAAGAGGAAGAACTCACAAAGTGCAATGCGCGCAAATTTTGGTGAGTAAAGTCGCCGGATAACCAAGAAAGAAATGGCAAAGAATCGCCGGAAAACCCTAACGACGACGGAGTCGAGGAAAAACGCGTGGAGATCGGAGAGTTCAAAACTGAAGTGAATGAGAGTTATAGTTTGAGGAGGTGTGCATTCTTTGGCTTTAAGGAAATAAATTCACGGGCTCACCCGGTCATTTTAATTTAATTAAATAAATATATATATATATATATATATATATATATATATATATATATATTTATTTATATATATATATATATATTTATTTAGGGAAAATATATTTGACATCTTTTTGGCATAAATTGCATGACCGGGTAAGTTCGTAATTAAGGGAATTAATAAAGGTGTTGTTGTAAATTCATTTTTTTCCACTATAATATTAAACCATTGAAAAAAGTCTTAAACCACTAGATGGTTTCAAGAAATTACATTATCCAATAAATTTTTCATTTCTAATAAAAAAACACTGTCCAAAAAAAACATTTATTACTCTTATTTATACTCACTTCAATACTCACTTTCTTTCTTCCAATTTTTAAATTTTTCATTGTTGTTTATTCTTTTTCCTTTTCAATATCTTACTATTTTCGTTCATAAATCTCATGGGCAAGTATGTTTGTTTTTAAGGGAAAAAAACAAGGTACATTCATTAAATTTTAAAAATATTTTTTAAATTAATATTTATTAATTAATTAATACCTCTACAAAATAATAATATTTTAAAATTTCAATAATTATATTTAGGATAGGACTACTAGTTTTTATGAAAATTCAGAACGTTTAATGATTTTTTTTTTAAAATGAAGATCACATTAAGAAGAGTAATTTTTTAAAGGATATAGTTAGTAATTAGTAACAGTTAATTTCTATATTCTAATTTTATTTGTTATCTTTAATTCACTGATGCAGTGAATGACATTCTCAACAATCTTTAGTTTAAGATCCAAAGCACTTGAAACTTCCTCTTTTTTAAATAATTTTGTGTATCCAACTTCATTTATATATCTCATGAATTACATCACTGAACTTACACTTCAAATATTCACTAAAAGTATTATTGCTAAGTATGGATTAATAGTCTGAAAGATAATATATATAACCTAAATGTATAAATTATACTGAATGTAAAAATAGTTCATAAGTGATGTCCTTGATTAAATAGTAGTTACATCTTTGCGTTATCATCAAATCTGATGCTCAACTTTTGTTTAATCAGTTGATTGCATCGGAAATTTCTGATATTCTCTCCATCTTAATTTATTTGATATAATTTGTTTGGATACAAAGTTTAAAAAATATAAAAAAATTTAAGTAATATTTTAAAATTATCATTAAAATAAATAATTTTTTAAATAAATCAGTACATTGTAAACCTTTTGTCAAATAAGTAAAGAGTAAAATATTGATAGTATTGTTGAATATTTATCAGTAAAGAATGTAAAGAGTAAAATATTGATAGTATGGTTGAATATTTATCAGATAATTTTATTTTATTTTTTAAAAAAATGTCAATAGACAAAGAGGGAGTAGATAAATAAGCATTCTTAGCTAGAGAAGTAGGAGATTTTCAAGCCCTCAAGAGTCAAGTCCCTCAAGTGCAAGATTTGAATTCAAAATTTGCACATGAATTTACAATGAAAGGATAAAAAAATGGCTATCTAACAATACGAATATTGATTGAAATAATTTTGTTCACCATTATAAGGATGTCTCATTCTTATCTATATAGTTAGAAAAAATGGTTCTAATTTGTTTAATCGCAACCGATAAAATATAAATTTAGATTATTCGTTCAATTGATATTGGTTTGAAAGTTTAAATTTTTTTTTATGAAAGAGGGTAATTAATATGAACATAAAGCAAAATAGTAAAGTTGATCAATCTATTAAGAATTTATTAATAACCGTGTAAAATGAAAAATAAATATTAGTTGTAAATATTCACCTAAAAGATGTAAATATTACTTGTAATTATTATTTATTTCATACGATGCCCTACTTGATCTTGTTTCTTTCTCGACTAAGAAGCAGATTATTGGAGAATGTAACTATATATCACTTATCCCTAATTAAGGGGAAACATAAAATTAAAAGCAAAAATAGTTAACCTTACTGTCCAACGCCAACCAAGAAGACCATTGAACATTGAAGCTTAAACACAAAATTAAAACATATTCACAAATTTTTACAGCATATAGAAAGGCAAGATAGGTGTCCAGTTATATTGCACCATTTAAAGACACATATATAACAACATAAAAAGTGGCATAAGCAATGTCAAATACCCATGCTCTCAAGGCTATAGGAACTAAGAAGAAGCTTTCCATAAATTACCAATGCATCGATCTTCTAATATTAATTTGTTTCCGTGAAGCAGGCATGTTGATACCACATTTAACTAACTCTTCTAATATAGTAGTAGAAGTTACCACCTTGGTCGCACCTAGGGCTGGCAAAATGAGTTATAAATCTGGGTATCCATTCATTTTTACCCATTTAAAATGGGTTGGGTACCCAATACTTTTAAAATGAGTCAAATATGAGTCCAACTCATAATACCCATTTAAAATATGGGTACTTAAATGGGTAAAATGGGTAAATAGAAAGGCCTATTCACTGTAAGAGAAAAAATAGGGCAGAAATTTGAAACCCACACAAACCAAAATTGCCTCAGCTTTTCATCGTCTTCCATCAACCAACATTGTCTCAGCTCCGGCGATTTCTCCGGTGAGACTCTCTCCTTCGTCTTTACTTCTATCTCCGTCTCTATTTTCTCCTTTTCTATTTTTGTTGTTGTTGTTGTTGCTGTGGTACTCTGCTTTGCTGTTTTGATTGATTTGATGGTAGACTTTCTACCTGTTTCTTTTAGTTCAACTTTTAGATCTAGTTAGTGATGCATGTGTAAATACAACTTCTAGTCATGGGTACAACTACTTCTTAACCCTGCCTATCTGAGCATACCTGCTCCAAACCCAAATGAAGAAAGAGGGCTATGGTAGGTTGAAGGCCAAAGAAGTAGTTCCCTCAATAGTGTGAAATAGCTATGGATGATCCACAGAGACATAGTCTGTGAAAAGCTAAAGTAACTTTTGGTTCATTTCATATTCTTACCTTATTGATTGTGCTGCTATGAGTTGATTTTGTTATTTGTATGTATGGCTCATTGTTTATGATTTGTAAAATTAGGGTGATATGTCGATAGAAGGCAATGAAGAGTCTTGTGAACAAAGTACTGCAACTTCGTTGATACGAGCAAAAAGGAAAACATCTGTTGTTTGGGATTATTTTATTAGACTTAAGCCTAATTCTATTGACGGAAAGTATGAAGTTCAATGCATGATCTGTAAAAAAAAATTTGCAATGGGCCCTACATTTGGAACAACAAATCTAAAGCGTCATTTGGAGAAACATAACCCGGATAAGGCTAAAGAGGGTCAAAATGAGCCAATAGATCAAAAAACTTATCGAGAGAAGATGTCATTGGCTATATGTAGGCATAATTATGCTTTCAGTTTTGTAGAGCACAAAGGCATCAGGGATATTCATTCGTATTTAAATCCAATAGCGAGGCATATATCAAGAAAAGTAAGAGGCCTAATAAAGAAAAGTAAGAGGCCTAAAACATGGTAAAAGCTATTCCCATCTACATAATTCATATAGCTTCCTTTTTCCTTTTATCTGATTATAGTCGAAAAGTTTAATATTAGATGAAAATTTTATAATTGACATCTATAGGACTAATAATTATAAGTTATAACACCTTTAACTTTCAAGTTATAACAATAAAAACTTACATGTTATAACATTTTACTAAATTAAAAAAAGATTTAAAAGCAGTAAAAATCAATTAGTTTGAATAAATAAATTAATTTAAAAAAAATTGAGTAACAAATAATTTGAAAATATTAATAATAATTAATAGAAGACATAAAAATAGGAGAGTCATAACAAAATAGTATATTTGTTTTCCTTGTTTAGCTCAAGACAATTATTTCAAACAAAAAAATTCAGACAATTTCTCTCTCTTCTAATTCGTTCAAACAAATTTCTTAGTTGTCACTCTCTTCTAATTCGAATTTGTTTTAATACAATAATCACCATTTTCTTGTAATGGACAGTTTCTTATCAGTATTAATAAAGCATGGTGATAGATAGGATCCTTCAGGTTAGTGTTTTTTCCAAAATTTCTGTGTAATTGATTTGCAAAAAATTGGGTCTTTTTTAATGTATAATGTTGTTAGTTTTTGGTATGAACCATTTTTCATTTTTTGGTATGTTTTTGGTTTAAAAATTACATAAAATTTGCTTGAAATTAGTATACTAGATATATCAGACATGTATAGAAATTGATGATGTTGGTGTGATTGAACTTTATTTTTTGGCATTATATTGGAATGAATTTGGAAATAATAATGGAATGAATTTGGTATACTGTTTATTTAATAAATGACAATTACTAG